TCCAATGTAAAATGTGCTGCGGGACATGTTGCGCCTCCCTATTTAGGTCACGTGTCGTTCATAATATTCAATTCAGGACAATTCAGGCCGTTTTCAGTGTTGACGTTCTTAAAACCTAATATGTAGTCAATGTATTTAAATCGGTCGTCTTGGTTTAAGTATTATGATCCTCAAAACAACTTGTTGTTTGAAATCTGGCAACTAATTTCTCTGGTCACTTATTTATTCCACCTACCACAGCCTACAAAAGTGAGCAACTAGCAACACACCAAAATAATGATGATGTTTTTACACTGATATAGAGAGACTGGCTAACAATATTGACGTATTCATACGTACGAATAGAACAAAAAAAAACTATAGAAAAATATTTGATAATGCATCGAAAATCGTAAATTTTAACAAGATGCTCTAAAGGGAGGTTTTAAACACAACAACTGCAAAAATAAAAAAATCATAATAAGAATTCAAAACTGAATGAATTGGAGAACTCCAACCAATAACATTTGAATGCATGAATTTGATTTTGAAAACTGCAGTATACGATTTTGTTGAGTGAGAAAATCAAGAAGCTTTTTGGGAGGCACAAAAACTCATCCAGGTATAAAATGTTAGAACTTTATGAACTTTGGTTGCAGTCATCTCCGGTTAGTGCGAACTTCAACATTGAAAAAATAATAGATTTTTAAGAAATTTTAAAATAAATTTGTGGAAAAAGTGAAATTTACAGAAATTTTTAATTATTTACTTATTTCGTTGAAAACGGCAAAAGTTTAATAGTCTTAAATGGATTTAAATTTATTTATTTTATTTTTAAATGGTGAGTTTTATCCTGCTGCTGAGAAAAGTATATATGTAACCTAAAAACCTTAACTCAAGTCAAGGTCTCATGGTTTCAAAATAACAAAAAAATTAATAATTTTAGCACGATCATAAACAAGTGCTTATGAATAGTGTTGTCAAAAGTTTGAATAATCGGTTACTTGTATGTAATACTAAGAATGACTTACTACACATTTGTTATATGGAAACTGGTAACCAGGAAATATTATAATAATAATAATAACTTTATTATAAAAACAAGATACATTTTAATCAAAGTGTAAAGAAAATTTCAAAATTTCTGATTATTCTCTTTAAAACTGAAATAACTATCCAAAATATTGTAAATTATTAAAATAACGATTCATAAAATCGTTTCAATTTCAAAATATTAAATAATTTTTATTATGTTTATTTTTATTATCTGAGTTTTGACTTTTATATGTAAATAACCGTTCTTTCTAACACCCGATTACTTTCATAATTAAGAACACTATTTGCAAATTTTACAGTTATTACTACTACTCAGTTCTATTAACGCTTCACCAGCTCAGAGAGCATTTCCTTTTTTGGCGCGCTCTTTGATTTTATTAACGTTTTTTCTTATAAACTTTATTTACTGTTATTTTTCTTTGGTGTATTTGGCCAAAGTTGGTTTTTGAAAAAAAGTGAGAAACAGACCAAAGACGATAGTAAATAAAATGGAAAACTATTTTCAAAGATTTTTATCATTGACCGGAGACATGTGTGTACTTGGCCTTAAAATATTTTGCTACAGTAGTTTAAACATACACAAAGAATATGAAATATTTGGCAGGTAATGAATGATTATGAAACACTACATGCAATAGTTATAAGTACAGTTTATTACTTTCAAGAGATTTTTAATTGTGAAACTTAAATTACTTAAGAGTTCAAATCATATTAATTGAAACTAAAGTTTGGAATGGGTTTTGTAATGGACCGACTAAAACCATTTTCAACAGACTTCGCACGAAATTCCATTAGCATAAAATTGTGGCTTGTAGTTTGATTATAAAGACGGATGCATTCCCAAAATTATAGAGCCAACACGCGGCCAATTTTGCTAAGATTTCCATCGATGTAACTTTATATCAATTTCAAAAAATTACTCTATATAAATTACTCTCAATAGTTTCCACGTTTGAATTCATTAAATAAATAAATTTATTATAATTCATATTATTTTTCTTATTACAGGTCTTCTTCTTTTTAGTCCTATATGTTGGGTGAGTTCTCTATTTTCCCATATGCAAAAATAAGAATGTCTATAAAAACTCCATTGATTTCAGGCTCAAAGTGGTTATAATTATGGTCGCAGTGAAATAGCTGGTGGAAATATTCCAGCTACAGCTGCTGCTCCTATAAGACCATTAACCGGTGGATTCGCTCCTGCCTCCGCAGCAACAGCTGCTTTTCCTACCTCGCCCACAGCGTTTTCTGGAGTTGGTGGTGCTGCATCCAGTCCCTCTGGACCATTTGGTGGATTTTCAGCACAAAATCAAAGAGGAATTGGTGGTTTAACAGGCAGCGGACCAACAGCTTATGGCGGAACCGCCGGTAATCTACCAAAACGACCTAATTTATCGCAAAGACCTACAGCAACGGGTGGCACAGGACCTGGTAGTATTTATGCACCTAATACACAATTTTCAAATACTGGCACGGGTAGAGGTAGTACTGGCACGGGCAATAGTATAGATGATGATTACGATGGTGATTTTTCAGCCATACCAGGTGTCCCGGGTGTTGATTATCCGATCTATAGTCAAGTGCCACAAACAAATTTTGATTGTGCTCAACAGCCATTGCCAGGTTATTACTCAGACATTGAAGCTCAATGTCAGGTCTTTCACATATGTGCCCTAAATCGCACCTATTCTTTCCTTTGCCCCAATGGCACCATTTTCAGTCAGGAGGTTTTGGTATGTATATGGTGGAATCAGTATGATTGTGCTTCAGCCCCCAGTTTATATGCCAATAATGCATTTATCTATGATTATGGTAATGAGAGAATACCCACAAATACGGGATATCAACCCAGCTCAAATCAACAAATCGGTAGAGCTCAAACAAATCTTTTATCATCAAGTGGTACAAGAACAGCTCCCAGCACCTCGGGACTATTTTCAGCACAGCGTATACCATCGTCGGTAACAGGTGGTGGTGGTAATATAGCTGTACAACCTTCTTCCCTATCGGGAGTAGCAGCAAATGCTGGCCGTTTCAATCCCTCAGCAACAAATGCTGGAGCCCAAACATTTCCCGCCACCCCGACACCATTTGGCTCAGTCTTACGACCCGCCAGTCCAGCCGTTGCCACCACGCCCGGAGGCGGCGGCGGAGGAAGTGGTTACAATGCCAATTTACCAGAAACTGCATTTGGAAATGCTGCAATTGCTACGCCAACAACTAAAGCAAGAGAATACTTGCCTCCTCCCTCCCGCAGGCAATAAAATGTGAGATCTTTCGGTAAATTTGCTCTAGAAGAATGTAGTTACTTTAACAATAGATTCCCCAACCAATCGATAACGATTTTTGGCTTTTGTACCCGGTTTAAATGTTCCTTATGACATTTCTGTTTGAAATTATCGAAAGTATTTCGTTATTCGATAAATTTCCGTTTATTATAAATATATTTTAGGTTAGTTATATAAAGATTCATTTACGTAATTATCTTTATCCATCACTATTCGAAATTTTTTGCAGGCATGCCTTTCTGTAGTTTAATTTTAATTACATCATTCATTTATTATCATGTACAATATATATTTTTATAGCAAATAAAGTATTTCTTGGAATGCATAATTTTTTCTTAATGAAACAAACGTCCTTAGAAAGGTCGGTAGTGGTAGTTCACCGCGCGCATAATTAGAACTAAAAGTTTTAACAAAGTTTACATGGACGTATTCTAAGTGAAACCGTGAACTAACTAACTAACTAACTAACTAACTAACTAACTAACTAACTAACTAACTAACTAACTAACTAACTAACTAACTAACTAACTAACTAACTAACTAACTAACTAACTAACTAACTAACTAACTAACTAACTAACTAACTAACTAACTAACTACTAACTAACTAACTAACTAACTAACTAACTAACTAACTAACTAACTAACTAACTAACTAACTACTAACTAACTAACTAACTAACTAACTAACTAACTAACTAACTAACTAACTAACTAACTAACTAACTAACTAACTAACTAACTAACTAACTAACTAACTAACTAACTAACTAACTAACTAACTAACTAACTAACTAACTAACTAACTAACTAACTAACTAACTAACTAACTAACTAACTAACTAACTAACTAACTAACTAACTAACTAACTAACTAACTAACTAACTAACTAACTAACTAACTAACTAACTAACTAACTAACTAACTAACTAACTAACTAACTAACTAACTACTAACTAACTAACTAACTAACTAACTAACTAACTAACTAACTAACTAACTAACTACTAACTAACTAACTAACTAACTAACTAACTAACTAACTAACTAACTAACTAACTAACTAACTAACTAACTAACTAACTAACTAACTAACTAACTAACTAACTAACTAACTAACTAACTAACTAACTAACTAACTAACTAACTAACTAACTAACTACTAACTAACTAACTAACTAACTAACTACTAACTAACTAACTAACTAACTACTACTAACTAACTAACTAACTAACTAACTAACTAACTAACTAACTAACTACTAACTAACTAACTAACTAACTAACTAACTAACTAACTAACTAACTACTAACTAACTAACTAACTAACTAACTAACTAACTAACTAACTAACTAACTAACTAACTAACTAACTAACTAACTAACTAACTAACTAACTAACTAACTAACTAACTAACTAACTAACTAACTAACTAACTAACTAATAAATGAGTTCTTTGTTATACTAAATAAATTTCGTTTATAAAAGTCTGTCGGTCCATGACTGGCCCGAAATTTTATTCGAAAATCAAACAATATAAACCATTTTAAAATATGCCTCCCATTTAGACCCCTACACTGGTTCTTCCGGTGAAGAGCATTTTATGATCGGACATGTCCTACTATAATTTCCATATTGTGTTTTATTTTTAAATTAAACATCAAACGGAAAATAAACGAAGTCAATCAATATGAAGATCACTAAAAGAACAATTTTAATTTTGATTCTAAGTGCTGCAATTGTTGCAACGAGTCTCACACTTATAACGCAACTTGCGGGATTTCGTTGGGAATATAAAAAGTTTAAACAGTTCTCACTGACATTGGTTGTCATAATGCTGATACGTTACATATTCTTGGAACATATTGTATTTGTTATACAAGCATTGATTGTAACTTTCAAAGGCCAGTCAGCAGACATTGGACCTCAGAATGGGGAAGAAGAATTAGATGCAGAAAAACTAAACAATATTTTTAATCCCTTGTTGACCTTAAAATTGCGTTTGAAAAGTTTACAATATCAATTGAAACTAGACGCACGTCATAGAGATGAAAACCTAAATTTGGAATATAAACAATTGACCGAGGATTTTTGGCTATTTGGAAAATATTTCCTATTACTTTTACTGGTTGTAGTATATTCCCAGAATTCGTATACCTATTACAATACGGCCACCATGCGCAGCCTATTAAATCAGAGTTATTCTTCCAACTACAAGATGAAGAGATTGATGACCATTAATGATTTATACTTTTGGATAAATGATACCTTAAGATCGGCTATTCATGAGGGATATGATTATGATGAACCAGGCAGAATATATTTTCCAGTCGGCAACTTATTGGGTGTAATGCGGCTGCAGCAGGTTAGACATGCCAACAAGAAGAACAGCATGTCGAATATGCTTTTTGACGAACAGGACTATTTGCCCAGATGGCAAAAATTAAATCGATCCCTACCCTATATAGATAAATATTGGCGCATTTATTACCCCTGGTTGTCGAAACATTATGAAGGTTTGTCCAATTGGTTGATGGTTTTCAGAAATATGGCTTCACTTTATGCCTACATCGAAAATAAGGGTTATGTGGCTCTGTTGGCGCGTGATCATAAAAATAATGACAAAATTTTAAATTTTCTTAAAGATCATAACTGGTTGGATACCTCGACTGCAGCAGTTTTTATAGATTTTACTCTCTATAATGCGGATTCCAATATGTTTACCATTTGTTCCATACTAGTGGAACAGACACCTTTTGGTGATTTGGTTTGGCAAATAGGAGTGGATTCGGCAGAGTTATTATGGAATATGAATGAAATTACCTGGTGGTGGTGGCTGCTTCTCATAATGTACACATTCCAATTGCTGCAGTTTTGCCAAGTAATGGTGGTACGCTCATGGTTTATGCCCGGATTTTTCAAATCCGCCTGGAATTGGGTAGATTTTGTTATAGTGATTCTCAATGTTATACTTTTATTATTTGTCATCATCCGAGAGTATTATGTCTTGTATGTAATGAAGACCTTTGTATTGGCCAAAAAACTGGAATATGTGGACTTTCGCGTGGCCTGCGTTTTTGATTATACAGCTACCGTGACACTTGGATTTCTTATATGCCTAGCTTCGATACGTATTTGGAAAATTTTACAATTTTCCAGTATCTTTCGCATATTTAATCGTACCCTATATACTTCAACAGTTCCTCTTATTTCCACCGTTTTGGTGATTCACATATTCATTAGTGCTGTTGGTTTGGCGGCTCAAATTTTAAATGGTAGTTATACCGAAAATTTTTCCCGTTATCTTAAAAGTGTCACATCCATAATGAGCTTTTCTTTTGGATTTAATTCACGCTCTAGTCCCAATGACTTAAGTCATGGTGGTGGAGTCTTGGGTTTTATTCTTTATCTCATACTAATGTTTGTTGTCGCTATATTTCTTATCAATATGTTTATTACTCTTATTTGCGATCATTTCTCTAACGCGCGTGAAGAAAGGGATCAAGAATCACCGGATAAATTAACTTATTGGCAATTTTTAATGATGGAATATTCAGGTATAAAAGAATATTTTATGAAAAATCTGTCCAGTTTTTCTAAGAAACAAAATAAAACAGTGAGAACAGATATTAATGATCATATCGATGTGTTAGAGAAAAAATTGCAAGATCAAAGCATAGCGGAATATGCAAAATTACAAGAACATTCAGTAGATCAATTATATGATAAGGAAATGCAAAGAGCCGATCGTTTGCAGAACATAGCAACTATTTTGAATCTACAAATAGAAATTTTACATCGCTTGATTATGATGCAATCTTTAGAATGGGATTCAGACAGTGATTCCTAATTTGAAGTGGACGATGGAAAGGTGTAAACATCTGTATCCAAGGAATCGTTTGCGAATTATAAAATAAAAATTATATGTAAATGAAATAATAAAAATTAAAAAATGAATCGAGTTTATTTCTTCTATTGCACAATATTTTTGTAAAGTTTTAAGGTAGTTAGTTAGTTAGTTAGTCAGTTAGTTAGTTAGTTAGTTAGTTAGTTAGTTAGTAGTTAGTTAGTTAGTTAGTTAGTTAGTTAGTTAGTTAGTTAGTTAGTTAGTTAGTTAGTTAGTTAGTTAGTAGTTAGTTAGTTAGTTAGTTAGTAGTTAGTTAGTTAGTTAGTAGTTAGTAGTTAGTTAGTTAGTTAGTTAGTTAGTTAGTTAGTTAGTTAGTAGTTAGTTAGTTAGTTAGTAGTAGTTAGTTAGTAGTTAGTTAGTTAGTTAGTTAGTTAGTTAGTTAGTTAGTTAGTTAGTTAGTTAGTTAGTTAGTTAGTTAGTTAGTTAGTTAGTTAGTTAGTTAGTTAGTTAGTTAGTTAGTTAGTAGTTAGTTTAGTAGTTAGTTAGTTAGGTTAGTTAGTTAGTTAGTTAGTTAGTTAGTTAGTTAGTTAGTTAGTTAGTTAGTTAGTTAGTTAGTTAGTTAGTTAGTTAGTTAGTTAGTTAGTTAGTAGTAGTTAGTTAGTTAGTTAGTTAGTTAGTTAGTAGTTAGTTAGTTAGTTAGTTAGTTAGGTTAGTTAGTTTTAGTTAGTTAGTTAGTTAGTTAGTTAGTTAGTTAGTTAGTTAGTTAGTTAGTTAGTTAGTTAGTTAGTTAGTTAGTTAGTTAGTTAGTTAGTTAGTTAGTTAGTTAGTTAGTTAGTTAGTTAGTTAGTTAGTTAGTTAGTTAGTTAGTTAGTTAGTTAGTTAGTTAGTTAGTTAGTTAGTTAGTTAGTTAGTTAGTTAGTTAGTTAGTTAGTTAGTTAGTTAGTTAGTTAGTTAGTTAGTTAGTTAGTTAGTTAGTTAGTTAGTTAGTTAGTTAGTTAGTTAGTTAGTTAGTTAGTTAGTTAGTTAGTTAGTTAGTTAGTTAGTTAGTTAGTTAGTTAGTTAGTTAGTTAGTAGTTAGTTAGTTAGTTAGTTAGTTAGTTAGTTAGTTAGTTAGTTAGTTAGTTAGTTAGTTAGTTAGTTAGTTAGTTAGTTAGTTAGTTAGTTAGTTAGTTAGTTAGTTAGTTAGTTAGTTAGTTAGTTAGTTAGTTAGTTAGTTAGTTAGTTAGTTAGTTAGTTAGTTAGTTAGTTAGTTAGTTAGTTAGTTAGTTAGTTAGTTAGTTAGTTAGTTAGTTAGTTAGTTAGTTAGTTAGTTAGTTAGTTAGTTAGTTAGTTAGTTAGTTAGTTAGTTAGTTAGTTAGTTAGTTAGTTAGTTAGTTAGTTAGTTAGTTAGTTAGTTAGTTAGTTAGTTAGTTAGTTAGTTAGTTAGTAGTTAGTTAGTTAGTTAGTTAGTTAGTTAGTTAGTTAGTTAGTTAGTTAGTAGTTAGTTAGTTAGTTAGTTAGTTAGTTAGTTAGTTAGTTAGTTAGTAGTTAGTTAGTTAGTAGTTAGTTAGTTAGTTAGTTAGTTAGTTAGTTAGTTAGTTAGTTAGTTAGTTAGTTAGTAGTTAGTTAGTTAGTTAGTTAGTTAGTTAGTTAGTTAGTTAGTTAGTTAGTTAGTTAGTTAGTTAGTTAGTTAGTTAGTTAGTTAGTTAGTTAGTTAGTTAGTTAGTTAGTTAGTTAGTTAGTTAGTTAGTTAGTTAGTTAGTTAGTTAGTTAGTTAGTTAGTTAGTTAGTTAGTTAGTTAGTTAGTTAGTTAGTTAGTTAGTTAGTTAGTTAGTTAGTTAGTTAGTTAGTTAGTTAGTTAGTTAGTTAGTTAGTTAGTTAGTTAGTTAGTTAGTTAGTTAGTTAGTTAGTTAGTTAGTTAGTTAGTTAGTTAGTTAGTTAGTTAGTTAGTTAGTTAGTTAGTTAGTTAGTTAGTTAGTTAGTTAGTTAGTTAGTTAGTTAGTTAGTTAGTTAGTTAGTTAGTTAGTTAGTTAGTTAGTTAGTTAGTTAGTTAGTTAGTTAGTTAGTTAGTTAGTTAGTTAGTTAGTTAGTTAGTTAGTTAGTTAGTTAGTTAGTTAGTTAGTTAGTTAGTTAGTTAGTTAGTTAGTTAGTTAGTAGTTAGTTAGTTAGTTAGTTAGTTAGTTAGTTAGTTAGTTAGTTAGTTAGTTAGTTAGTTAGTTAGTTAGTTAGTTAGTTAGTAGTTAGTTAGTTAGTTAGTTAGTTAGTTAGTTAGTTAGTTAGTTAGTTAGTTAGTTAGTTAGTTAGTTAGTTAGTTAGTTAGTTAGTTAGTTAGTTAGTTAGTTAGTTAGTTAGTTAGTTAGTTAGTTAGTTAGTTAGTTAGTTAGTTAGTTAGTTAGTTAGTTAGTTAGTTAGTTAGTTAGTTAGTTAGTTAGTTAGTTAGTTAGTTAGTTAGTAGTTAGTTAGTTAGTTAGTTAGTTAGTTAGTTAGTTAGTTAGTTAGTTAGTTAGTTAGTTAGTTAGTTAGTTAGTTAGTTAGTTAGTTAGTTAGTTAGTTAGTTAGTTAGTTAGTTAGTTAGTTAGTTAGTTAGTTAGTTAGTAGTTAGTTAGTTAGTTAGTTAGTTAGTTAGTTAGTTAGTTAGTTAGTTAGTTAGTTAGTTAGTTAGTTAGTTAGTTAGTTAGTTAGTTAGTTAGTTAGTTAGTTAGTTAGTTAGTTAGTTAGTTAGTTAGTTAGTTAGTTAGTTAGTTAGTTAGTTAGTTAGTTAGTTAGTTAGTTAGTTAGTTAGTTAGTTAGTAGTTAGTTAGTTAGTTAGTTAGTTAGTTAGTTAGTTAGTTAGTTAGTTAGTTAGTTAGTTAGTTAGTTAGTTAGTTAGTTAGTTAGTTAGTTAGTTAGTTAGTTAGTTAGTTAGTTAGTTAGTTAGTTAGTTAGTTAGTTAGTTAGTTAGTTAGTTAGTTAGTTAGTTAGTTAGTTAGTTAGTTAGTTAGTTAGTTAGTTAGTTAGTTAGTTAGTTAGTTAGTTAGTTAGTTAGTTAGTTAGTTAGTAGTTAGTTAGTTAGTTAGTTAGTTAGTTAGTTAGTTAGTTAGTTAGTTAGTTAGTTAGTTAGTTAGTTAGTTAGTTAGTTAGTTAGTTAGTTAGTTAGTTAGTTAGTTAGTAGTTAGTTAGTTAGTTAGTTAGTTAGTTAGTTAGTTAGTTAGTTAGTTAGTTAGTTAGTTAGTTAGTTAGTTAGTTAGTTAGTAGTTAGTTAGTTAGTTAGTTAGTTAGTTAGTAGTTAGTTAGTTAGTTAGTTAGTTAGTTAGTTAGTTAGTTAGTTAGTTAGTTAGTTAGTTAGTTAGTAGTTAGTTAGTTAGTTAGTTAGTTAGTTAGTTAGTTAGTTAGTTAGTTAGTTAGTTAGTTAGTTAGTTAGTTAGTAGTTAGTTAGTTAGTTAGTAGTTAGTTAGTTAGTTAGTTAGTAGTAGTAGTTAGTTAGTTAGTAGTTAGTTAGTTAGTTAGTTAGTTAGTTAGTTAGTTAGTTAGTTAGTTAGTTAGTTAGTTAGTTAGTTAGTTAGTTAGTTAGTTAGTTAGTTAGTTAGTTAGTTAGTTAGTTCCTTCATACCTGCTCTCAAGTGCATCACTGCGTCACATCTGGTGCGCAGAATGCTGAAAATTCATGTGTAGTATGATGCGCCAAAAAACGACAAAACTCTTTCATATCATGAATTTTGCCGCACAATTTTTTCCTAACCATTTTATTGCAAAGTAATTATTAGTAAGGAACAGGCCCCCTTCATTATACTCATTTGCAAATACTAACAGTTTCTTGAAAGTAAATTTTAACAGTTAATTTATATACAGTAGTTTATTTTGTAAAAAATAATACAAATTCAGCAAAAGGATAAAATAACAAAGTATAAAAATTCAATTCTTTTAAAATTATTTTACATTTTTAAAATGTAATCGATATTAATAAAAAACAATAAATGGATTATTTCAATTTAAATTAAATTTCAAATAGCTTCCCTTACAATGCCACGATTACGAAAAGTAACCTGTTGCATACAAATGCAAAAACTACGGCTATAATGGAAATTCAGTGCCAGCGCTGAACGTTCGTCGACTAAAAAGATAAAAAATGTCACACGTCCCTCGGGACAAACCTCTTGTGAGGCTACCACCCAATTGTCAGTATATAACTTGGGTTTGTGCAAGTTAAGTTGTGATAAAAACAATTTAGCATCACTTGCTATGCCCTCGTATTTGGCATCGAAGCAATAAATTAAAGGTGTAATGGCAGGCAAACGTAAGACCTTAAGACATTCCATGGTCTTCATCTGCAAAATATCCTCAATGCAACGTGATAGACATTCGAAGGCATAAATATTATCACAAACGATGGTAATGTGACTGCCATTGTTGGTGATGCTGTGAAAAATGGGTGTGGCTAAACCCTCCTGCTGATACACTCCAATCCAACCAACCAGTTCGGTGCGTATAAATTCAAATACGTGATCGGCCACGTGTGGATTATTGTCTATGAAGATTTTGGCAACAATTAGGAAATCATCATCGACCACATGATTTATTGAGGCTTCGGCTGCCAAACGCAATTGCATTAACTCAATTTCCGAATTAAACGTTTGTCCTATAGCATGCAAAAATTCTGGAGTACATGGATCTTTTACGGAGAATTTCATTTTATCTAGTTTGTATGTGGTTAGGCTCTTAGTTGTTGTTGTTGCAATTGCAGTCTTTGAGGGTAACACTGTGGCTACAGCTTTGACCAATTTTTGGTTTTCTTGATTTGGAGTTTGCTTGGTAGTAGTAGCCACCACAGCTTGTTTAGCTACCTCAGCTACTGGTCTAGTTTTTTGTACTTGCTGCTGAGTACTTACAAACGTTTTTTGTACCAAAGCTTTTTGTTGCTCCTTTGCGTTTTGAGCCTGCTTAGCAGTCTCATCTGCTTCCATTTTAAGACGCAATCGTCTTCTTTGCGCTCTAGACAAATGTTGAGTTCCCGTAGTGCTGGTCACCCCTGCTTCTGCTCCCAAACCCTTGCGATCTGATTTCTTTTCTAGCATCAAGGGCTCTAATATACCTTCGGCGTTTCTACCCAATCCCTTGCCATTTTCGTAGCCCATTTTCACAAGCAACTCATATCCCTTATTACCTTCTTCAATTTTTGTTTCAAGACCTTTCTTTAAATTAGCCTCTTCCAATGCTTTGCGATTTTTTGGCACCGGCTGATTTTGATGATTATTCATATTGCTGCCGTCATCATTCCTCTTCGCCTGCCGATTTAAACGGTTTCTTTGACGCCTTGAAAGTGCACGATAGGAATACTCTTGTTGAACGTTGTAATTGTATTCGTAACCAGTGACATTGCTGTTGTAGTAATTATTGTTGTAATTATTATTGTAAAAATAGTATCCATGATAATTTAAAGCATAGCAAACTAGCCAATTCAACATTTTTATTAGACCCGAAAAAAATTCGACAATTAAAAAAGCAACAACAATCGGCAGTTGACAAACAAGATTCATAAGTAACGGTTTTTCAAATGTCATTCATTAGATAATCAGATAAAAGTGCTGCCAAATTTAAAAAAGTAAACAAAGTTTTAGTTAGGGTTTCTAACATGAGTCATATGAACAGTCTACTAATAAATAGTCGACTATATTAGTTGTGCTTTATTACTTAACACGTTAAGTATTTATAGAAATTTCCATATTATATATTTTAAAAAGAAAGTGTCGCAGAATGATTTCTGCATATACAGAACAGATTAGTGTAGAATTTTATTATTTTCAGAAGTGGACTCTATATGATCAATTATTGTCCCATACAGCTTTTATTTCGAAAGTATATCTGATAGAATTGTTAAAGATTCGGATATCGCAGATATCTGGGGTCTTCTGGAAACTGATTTCAATATTCAGGACATAAGGATTAAGAATATACAAACATATATACTTTATAGGGTCGGAAAATTTTCCATAATCCTGTAGATCGAGGTCAAATTATGGACCAATTTCATTTTTTTCAAATATCAAATTTCCTTTAATTCAAAATTTCCATCTATAGATTAGAATATTTCCAGTTTTAATACAGATTTCAAAGAAAACACCATTTATAACTAATTATATACAACTTTATTTACTTTTCAAGTCCTTAAAAAAATCAAAATAAGTTTGTTTCACTTTACTATTGCTATGCACTACATTTCGTTTTAAGATGGACTGATAGAAAGGTTTAAAATCCTTATTAATAAAGTTATAACGTCCCTTTTTCAGCTTAGGTTGACACTGTTTCGGTAAAGGTATGGTAGGATTAAAGACCATTTGAGTACTATCATACTGCTCAAACAAATCAAATGCCGATCTGAAAATACATAAAATAAATTGGAATTCGTTAGTTTTAAAATCCAAAAATACTCACAATTTTCCAATTTCCGAAGGCAAAGAACCATCACCAGATGCTGGTACGCCATTAGCAATATGCATAGCCATCTTACGCACTGTGGGATGGTAATGTCTAGCCAAAGTACTTAATTCATATAAAGCTGTACACGAGGCATTACAATATTCTGGATCTTCTAATTCTGGATCGTATTTACCCGAACCAATACTATCATCTGTATCGAGTAGTATATCCAAAACAGAGGTCAATTGGAAAGTGGTCTTAATAGTACCCAAACTGGCCAGAGTACCATGATGCAATAGATTTAAACTAATCGTTAGTAAACGTTTAACGAAGGCCATTAAACGTTGTTGACTCATATTACGTCTTCTCTTAACGAGTACCTCATCAAGGGTCTCTAGGATGATTCTAAAATCATCATGATTTTTACCAGCATTAACAGCCAACATATTTTTATAGAAATGTTGATAAAAACGTATGGGATCAATGTTTAAGACTTCACCCTGACCTGAGAGTATAACGAAAATGGTTTTAATGCAATGCAACTGTTCACGGTAGCCCAACTCTTCTTGTGTCTCTAGGATATTATTAAGAACTTCTATTAAATCGGAGAAGAAATCCAAATTAATGACATGGGCGAATCTGTAATATATAAATGGTATTTAAGATTAGATTTGGTTTATTATAAAAAAGCTTGAGTTTTCGTATAAAAATATATATTGCTATCTCAAGCTTTCCTATATAAATCTATATCGCAGGCTCAACATATCCTTTCAGAGCCTTATTTTAATAGAATTTTATTAATTACTCACTCTGCCAAACCCTCTAAAATTGCACTCAAAACTTTTGAAGTCGGGTCATTCTTCAAGACTCTGAAGTAAATGTTAAATAACATTTTAACAATTTCAGTCAATTTGAAATGTTTGGTCTGCTTGTTTTCCTCAGCTCTGGTCTCTTCCAATTCCTTGTTTAATTCCGCCAATTTCTTGCGCCTCTTACGTTCCTTCTTAGACAAACTCAACAAACGTTGCCGATGAGCTTCCAACTTTTTCTGCTTCAATTCATTTTCTTTTTCAGCGTCTAAATTAACATTTTTAATTTTAAGATCCTGCAGACAGGTAATGCACTCCAAGTGTACATTATTATTTTTGGTTTTAATCAAGTGATTTATGCGTCGTATAATGAAAAGTGTCATGTCCAGTTTTTTGTCGTTGGCAAACACAAAACGGAAACATTTATTTACAGCATCACGCATACGGGGATAATTGCTGTTGAGCATGTAGACCAATAATTGAGCAATATTTTTGACATAATTGAAGTAGGGATGGGCTATGAGAAGATCACACATAGATTGTACTGCCACTTCGGCCATTTTAACAGCTTGTGGTGTTATGCGGCCATGACCCTTACGATTCACAATGGCCGTTAATTTTTCCAAACGTTGCAAGAATTTTTTGAATTGCTGTAGCAGGGCATTTTCATAGGTTACTCTTTCCAAGGTGGCTTTACGTACTTGCTGCATTTTAGTATCAATCTGACCTACACGATATTCGGGTAAAATATCTTTGAAGATTTCCGTTAGAGAAATTATGGCCACTTTGCGTACTGTTAGCAGATTGGGTACACCGTTAGCGCCAGTCTCATCCATTAGCTCAAACAGAGCGTTAAAATTGCGCATTTTATCTTCCGGTTTCTCTAGGATACCTGAACAGATAATACCAATACGATATTTTTGGCGCTCAATTTCCTGTTGGCGAGCTATCAGCAAATCTGTAGTGGAAATCATTTTCTTTTCGGCAGCCGCTTTAATAGCGCTCTCTTCTTCATCGTACACTATATCATCATCACTGTCTTCATATTCTTCAGCAGCTTCTTCTTCGTCGGCATTCTCTTCGGGCTCCTCTTCAGCTTGTCCCTTCTTTACTTTGGGTTTTGGTTTATAATCGACTTCAGCGGTACGTGTTATAATTTCACCATCACGACTTTTAATGGGCAACAAATCCACTTTAATTTTTTTGGTTTCCTCTTCGAGTGCCGTATCCACTGCAAATTGTTTCTCCAAACCCACCGAATGTTTAAGATCATCATGTTCTGCCTCATCCTCGACAGCATGTTTACGCTTACGTTGCTTACCCCTTTTAAGCTGTAAATATTCCAAATCCTCACCATCTAACATATCGGCCACGTTGTCCAACAACTCATCGTCATCTTGATCACCATCCTCATCCACATTCATAGGCAAACCCAAAGATTCACGTTTATTTTGTTTTTTCTTTTGAAACACATCATCCTTTTTACGGGCTTTTTGTATGAAAATATTTGATCCCCGCTCCTTGGCTGCCTTTTGCTGTGCCAGTTTCTGCTGTTGTTGCTTGCTCAGAGGAGCCTTTTTGTTTTTCAAATGGGCCGAACGCTTCACGGAACTGATTTTTACCTTTTTCTTTAAAGAAACATTTATTTTTAATAAAATATTTTATTGTACTGTGACAATAAGTACTTACTGTTCCCATTTTAATTTAAAAATCCTTTTAAAATATTTTAGAAATTAGTATTTTTTTAGAAAATTTACACAAATTTCTGCCGCGTTCAAGAAAAGAAAAACAAATGAAATGACATCTCTTCGAGCACATGTCAGAGCCCTGCGCCGACAAATATTAACGCCTGCGGCGACTGACACTAAATATGTCGGCGGCGGCTTAAAATCGACTGTAAGCCGGCTAAGTTTTCAACCACGTTTATTTTTTAAATTTTCAACGATTTTAAATAAAAACGGAATCCGAGAGATCTTTCTGGGATTTTGGAAGCAAATATATTGTTTATAACAACCAAACAGAGCAAGCACAAAAGTTGTGTTAGAAATTATGCAGGGATGGATAAAAAATTCTTAAAAATTAAAAACAAATCATTTCTCCAAGTTTTACGAGGATCGGCCTATATTTGACCCTATGCTCCATATAAAACATCTTGCGGAAAATCAGTTTCTAAAAAATTTTGCATTAAGAAAAAATGATCAATAACGTAAAAACAAAGATATTTTATTCATTTATTCAGTAATAAAAAAAAACAATTTGGGCAAAATAATATTACATAGTCCTGTCTGTTTTGTAAACCGAATCCTAGTAATTTCTCGTTTAAAAACGAATTCGCATTTTTTCTCGTTTTAAAACCGAGTACACAAATCTAGTGGAAAGAAAATCGAATGTAATTTTATTCTAATAAATTTAATAATTATTTTTCTGTGTTTTTTAATACAATTGTAACTAAATATAAATGCTATGGGCATTTTAGAAATTCCTCGCATACAGATTTTTATACAATCAGGAAGCTGCTTGTACAATTTTAGGTTCAATATTATAGAAAATTCGAAAAGTATTAGTAAAATAACAAAGAAGTACCAGAAAGTAGCTATCCTTTTTAAATGTTCGTTCAATTAGGATACTGCGTGTTTAATTTTATTATGGTTCATGTTTAATTTTATCTAGGTTCATTATAATAGAAAACTCAAAAAGTACCCTTTGAAAAACGAAAAATTACCAAAGAGCGCTCTTTTATAGATTACCATTAACTCCGGGCTCTACATGCTTAATTTCATGTTTCTAGGATCAATATTATAAAAAACACAAAAATTACCTTTTGAAGAACGAAAAAGTACCAAAAAGAGCTCAATATTATAGAAAATTCAAAAAGTACGTTTTGAAAATCGAAAATTACCAAAAAGTCCCCTATTATATATTATCACTTAATCCAGGCTCCACATGCTTAATTTCATGTTACTAGGTTCAATATTATAACCTAGTAACAAGAACGAAAAAGTACCAAAAAGTCCCCTTTTATAGATTCTAATTTACTCCGTGCTCTACATATTTAAAACATAAAAAGTACTAGTCGAAGTACGATAAAGTACCAAAAGTAAAAATTCTCATTTACTTGGGGCTTTAAATGCTTAATTTCATGTATCTAGGTTAAATTTTTATAAAAAACTTAAAAAGTGCCAGTCGTAGAATGGCATGCTTAATTTCATGTTTCTAGGTTTAATTTTAAAGAAAACTCAAAAAAGTACCAGTTGGAGAATGAAAAAGTACCAAAAAATGTCACTTGGTATTATTTACTGTTTATAAATCTAAAAATGTTATCTAAATTGGATCATTGTGTTTGAATAAAATCAAATTTCAACAACAGTTTTTATCCGTTTATTCCCTAAAAGGACCGAATTTGAAAAAAGTACCAGACCGCTTATTTTTTAAATGAACGACGATAAGCTTTATACTGTTTTTGTATATTTTCTAGTTTAGGAGATATGAGGTTACCGAATTTACCCGTTTTTAACCCCTTAACAGAGATGGGGTAGTACACTAAATTATTAGTTAAATCAATATTTAACTAGCACTAAATATTCTTTCAAAAAATATATTTTTCACTAATTTTCAGGAGCTTATATTTTTAGCACTAATATTTTTTAGTGGTAATGTTATTTTTTTTAACTATAACTCAATTGAGTGGTAGTGTAGAAAAAAGATCTACACTCAAATAGTTAAAAATTTGAACAGTCACTAACAAAAGAATTTGTAAGACAATAAATGATTTAATTTTTTAAAAGATACCTACATCTATTAAAATGGAAAATACAGATTTGGTTAGCGATGGCACTATGTTAGACCCTACATATGCAGTTACCCCAACAAAATCTCATGCTTTAAAAAGAAATGGTTGAAACACCTAAATTCCAAAACTTTTGCCTTCTTCTGCTCAAGTATAACGATTTTTTCTTTAGCGGAATGGTGAAGTCGCCTCTGAAAATTAAATTAATTGGTTAATTTTGTACCTCGATTGCCACGTCATCTGCGTTGGCAGTTGCCAAAATGATGTGGTTACTGGATGTTTTTTAGGCAATAGCTTGGAACCTTTGTAAATAATACAAAAGCTTTACTAATAACGCCTACTGATATTAAATAACAAATTATAATTTCTAATAATGTTAAGTTTATTTTGATTATTGTTTGGCATTTGTGAAACATCTATTTAACTTTTTTACGATTTGGTAAGTCTGCTTCTGATTATACAATTTTCTGGTAACTCCATCGTGGAATCTGTTCTTACTATAATAATTATTTGAATTGCCCTGTTGTTTTGGATAAGTAAACAAACGCATGTAAACAAACGCATCTCAACGAATTTCTATAAATATTGGAAAAATTCCCTGCCTGAAAAATGTCTGACGAGGAAGATGATTATATGTCTGATAAGTTTTTAGCTGGGTAAGATATAATGCAGCAGTTTAAAGCTAATTTATTACAAAGTTTCTTTTAAAAGTTTACAGGAGGTACGTCCAAGTCTAATAAATAATCGAGCAAAAAAGCGTCAATTTGAAATGGAAGTTAAACACAAGGAACACAATAAGAAACAAAAAGAATTAAAACAATTTTCAACAGCTAATGTGGACAACGACAGGCTACAGCAGGCGTTAAGTAAACCTTTGGCACAAGAAAATAAAGGATTTAAATTGTTGACTAAAATGGGCTATAAACCAGGACAAGCTTTAGGAAAACCTGTCAATAATGAAGAAACCTCCTCCTCCTCAAATTTGCAAACAAACCGGTTAATAGAACCCATAGGCATCACTTTGAAAACGGATCGTCAGGGTTTGGGTAGAGAAGCAGCTCTTCAAGAATTAAAGCAGAGGCGAACAAAAATACTCCAAGAACGCCTAAGAAAAGAAGCGGGAGGGTCCACAAGTATTGAAGATTTTCGTCGTAGAACAAATCAAAAACATGAAGAAAAATTTGTACTTAATGCTTTAAGACGCTGCCAAGTGACTTGTGAAAACTTGGATCTGGAAATTAACCTCGAGAAACCTGAAATGCCTTGGTTTTGGCCGGAAAGAACAAAAGAAACGGAGGAAGAGCTGGAAGCTGAAAAAGAAACTAATAAGGAAGAAGTAGAAGACAATGAGCAGGAACTGGAAGAGGAAGAGTTTACTTACCAAGAGAAATTAGAAATGTTAACAAACTATGTGCGAACTTCATATATGTTTTGCTACTGGTGTGGTGTACGTTATAATGATGAACAAGATTTAAATGATAATTGTCCAGGTCTAACTAAAGATGACCACTAAACTATTATTCCAAATTTATTTGGTTCATGGAAAAGATCTTTAGAAACAGAGGAACTGTTACAACAACTAAACTAATTTTGTAATATTTGTAAAATAAATCAAATGATCTAATATTGTCAGGTATTTATGGGTTATGTTTATTCGTTTTTGTTCTTACAATTATTTAATTTGTTTTAAGTTAAGCTTGATCATTTTACACATACAAATGCATTTCATTTTGTTAAAAAAAGATGAAATTTTTGTTTAAATACTTTTTTGATATAATTAAACTAATTATGCTTATACATAATAAATAATATTTAAGGAAATTTTTTAAAAAATAGTTAAAAAGTTAAAAAAAGAACAAGAAATAAGTATTTTTTCCGGAATGATGCTAGACACGTCCTTCGAGTTTTTGTATTAAATCATGACATTTTTCTATGACACTATAGATGAACGGTCTTTCCATAGGATCCATACGCAGCATATAGTTGATTAAATCATTCATGTCCTGTAAATGAAATGTTAAATTTAATTACACATATTTAACAAAATTAATGTTATTATTCCTACTTTACGATCTGATCAGGGATTCCCTTATCTATCTATCTATCTATCTATCTATCTATCTATCTATCTATCTATCTATCTATCTATCTATCTATCTATCTATCTATCTATCTATCTATCTATCTATCTATCTATCTATCTATCTATCTATCTATCTATATAGCTATCTATCTATCTATCTATCTATCTATCTATCTATCTATCTATCTATCTATCTATCTATCTATCTATCTATCTATCTATCTATCTATCCATATTTCCATTAACTTACCTGGGAATAAATGGAACTTTCAGGTATATTAATGTTTCCGCTCAAAACTGCTAAAGCCACACTATCACCCTTTTCATAGATGGGATCGAAGGGACAGTGGAAGAAGCACATGGCGTACAAAACACAGCCCAAACTCTGTAAAAAGCAATATGTTAAGAATAAATATAATTATTACACTCCACTTCCACCTAAAACTCACCCATATATCAGTTCTCTCATCTATGGTACAGTACGATTTAACTGAAAACAATTCTGGTGCTCTATAAACTATTGAGCTACGCTCTTCTGCCTCATCTTGCAAACGCTGAGCCTCCGACTGTCCGCATATCTGCAGGCGAGCCTCAGTCATTGAACCCAAATCTACTATAATGGGTTCAAAGGAATCGGACAGACATATATTGGCTGTCTTTAAGTCTCTATGAGCTAAAGGCACAGGTTTCGCCTCATGTATTGCTCTTATGCCTTCGCAGATACCCAAAAATATTTGCATAATCTGAGCCTCGGGCATATAGTCCTGCTTTCTGGCACGCATTTGCAAATGATCTGCCAGCGAGCCATGTTTGTAATACGGTAAAACAATGTATAGAGTACTCGTTGTATTTATCACAATATCAGCAGAACCCTTGAGTTCATAGTCAATCACTTTGATGACATTTTCAGAGTCAATACGTCGACAGTTTTCTATTTCGCGCAATGCTATATTTTGATCGTCTATGCTGTGACAGGTGATACGTTTAACAGCATACAATTTCCGGGTGATGCTGTTTTCCGCAAGGTCAATTAAACTGAAACCACTGTCGAGAAATACAATCATAAATTTTTGTTGGTGTGAAAATAAATCTTATTTTTAAATCTTTGGCTCTCATCATTAAATGATAAGATTACAGTGTTATTTAAAAGTATTTCTTCATATGCCGCTTTCTTACCCCTGTGCTAGTCTATCTTTTACAGTGTATTTGGTCCCACTGATTGTTAGTGTTTCTTTGGAGCAAAAGCATCCACGTTTGATAATGAGGGCCCAACCTAAACTATTCATCTTGTTGCTGTTATTGCTTCTCCCCTTTTCTTTATTTTTAAATTTAGCACAATTATTTTATTATATTTGTTAAAATTATTTTAATTTATTAATAATTTTGTACAATTTATAGTTTTGTTGTAAAAAAAGTGAAATCATTTAAGAGACAACAAAACAAAATCTAAATTGTCAATTTTGACAAACAGCTGAGAGTGTGGATGATGAAGAGAGCAGTGCAGTTGTCATGCAACAGAATGATTCAAGTATTATGATATGTATAATGAAAGTAAAAATTCGTAAAAATTTACGAATGAATAGTTGAAGTTGATTATTTTGTCGTAATAAAGTCGATAAGTCTATGTTGTAAGAAAATTTTTAATATATTATATAATGATTATTCTACTTCATAAACAGTGTGAAAGCATAAAAAAAATCGATATTAAAAAAACTATTGAAAAATGTTTTTTGTTACCGACAGACATAGCTAAATATTACTTATGGAAACTATAGTTTTAAAATTTAGTGATGAATGCGAAAAAATTGTTGACAAATTTTTCCTCGATAGTTGCGAATTTTGCACCCAAATATCCTGGCAACTATGTACAGAAAAAAGTTTTCAGGTTATTAATCCTTAAATACATGGGGTCAGCTATAAGAATGGAGACCAAGCTACCCTTTTGTAAAAACCGCTAAAAAACTCGAATCCAACATTTTTTTAACGAAAAATTTACCATTTTCTCGAAAAATCTAAAAAACTACGTTTTCTTATGTGTACCATATATGGTACGTCATGCATTCAGACTACATTTAGAATAAAATATAATTTTGTGAAATTATTCAAATTTTTATTATATTTTAATTATAGCTTTTTAAAATCAGATCGGAAAGTTAATAAAAGGTATGCTGTATATAAAATCCACCATAAAAAAGATGGTTCGTGTATAGATTTTGAAATTTTGATCTGTCCGTCCGTCTGACTATTGAAAGCTCGATAAGTCCTAAATGGGAGGAGATAGAGTGATATAATTTTTCACAAATATTCCCTATTAACTAGGCTTGTTTGGTATTGAAAATCAGCAATATCGGACTAACAGAAAAAATAAAGAAACATAAGAACATTATGCCCGTCTTTCGATTTTTAAACTAAGTTATTAAAAACAAGGTACTGGGAATGAAATTTTTCACAAATAGTCTTAATTGAAAAAATATATGAGCCAAATGTCACATTTAAGCTAAATTTGTTAGAATTACGCTTATTTAAAGTCATGTACCATATATGGTACGCTATACATTTAAGGGTTAAAGAAAATATTCAAATATTAACTTATTTAAACCGAAGCTAGTAAGCTCCACAATAGTCAACAGTTTGATTCACCACTAAACTTACCGTTAAATTTTTTTACACGTTCCTTTTATCTAAGTCACCCTGTTGTTTTACTCAACAGCTGACTCCACCTAACAATTTGTTTTTTTGCACGTTTTATAGATTATAAATTATTTTTTGCAAAAAAAAAAAAAAAAATAAATGAACAATTAATTAACATTTTATAAACAATGGTAACAAATAATCAAAATATTAGTACAAATACTGAAACAGAAGAAAATGCTGATTCTTGGCAAGATTTACTAGGCATTACGGCCGATCCGCCAGAGCGCAGGGACAAATGTGAACAATGCAAGTGAGTAAAGCGATTTTTATATTTCAAATGTATTTCTTATTAAAAGTACCTATTTGTTTTCTTTCAGGAGACCCCAAGTAGTATGCTGGTGTTCCTCTTTACCTAATCCTCCTTTGGATATATCCAGTTCTGTTGTCATACTGCAACATCCAGCTGAGGAAAAACGTTCACTGCGCACAGCTTTAATGCTGCAGTTGGGATTGAAACCCGGCAAGTGCACTGTGTACAAAGGCAAAAAATTTCCTACGCCAAAAAATCAAGCCGATCTAGAACCAATATTAAGTTCACCCAACTCTTTATTACTCTATCCTAGCCGAGAGTCAGTGCCTTTAGAGACAATAAAAGAAAGAACACAAACAAACGGCACAGCCACGGGACCCTTTACTCTGATACTAATAGATGGAACATGGCCACAAGCAAAAGCCATCTATGCCAGTAGTCCCATGTTGCATCATATGACACAAGTTAAACTTATCTCAGCCGGCTCCAGTGATTACATTATACGCACCCAACCCACTGAAGGTTGTCTCAGTACGCTGGAGACAGCTGCTCAATCTTTAACAGTTCTAGAGGGACGTCCGGAATTACGTGAACTCTTAGTACGTCCTTTGCATACGCTGTGTAAATATCAACTCGAAAATGGTGCCGTAGAACATCAGTCCAAAGAATTTAGAATCAAAAATAATCAATATCCCAAACAGATTGGTAAACGTCTCAATCGTTTACTTAATTATAGTACGATTTGTAGACCACCCGCCAATGAGGAACAAACGCCTGCCCCTTCAGACGACTGTCATTTACAAGATACATGAGAATGTATTGCGTTAGTCATACGATGAATTTATTTCAATATAGTCAGAATTTGACGTCTGTTCTCTATAATAGTTTAATATATCTACATGCATTCATTTAATACATATTATATATATATACACATAGCTAAATAATGCAGCCATCGTATACATATGAATACTTATCATATGAAGAATTCCTAAATAAATTTTGTGCAAATTTAAATTTCATATCTGTGGTGTCTTGAGTTAAAGGTAAGATCAAAGATTTTTACAATTACATATGTATGTTTTTCCATGTGAATATTGTAACAAACATTTAAATCGTTTTATTTTTTTAATAAAAATAGCGAAACTGGGCATTAAAATTAAAGATTCCTATAAAATTTTTTCATACAATTCAATTAATTATATTAAACAAAATGTTATTTGTTGTCTGTTTACAAGAAGAAAAACAGACTCTAAATAATTTTATTATACTTTTAATTCAGTTTTATTAATAATTTTAAATTAATTTCATTACATTTGAGGTCTTAATACAAGAGTTGTAAATATATGATTAAAAGTAAGAATTTTATTAAAATCTAAAATTATTTCCGTTCCACTTGTTCGCCTTGAATTTAACAAAACTGTTTTTTTTTTTTTTGCTCACATAGGTTTATTTCTTGCATCAACCAGTGCTCGCAATGTCAAGCACTTGGCAATGGCATATGTTCGCACGCAGGCATTTTTCTCTTTAGCTAAAAATGAAATGAAAATAGTTGTTAAAAATGAAAATATCTTAAATTTAAATCAATTCTTTAACTAAATAAGTAAAAGTCCAAAAAACAAAATAATTAATAATAAAGTTAATTTTTGTATTAGGATTGTGCCAAATAATTAGAAATATGTTTTGATATACTCACCTCCCTCTTTCTCACAAACTTCTATGCTGTCACCCGTGGCCGGCCAAATATTTGCTCGTATTTTTTCAGCATTTAATTTCCAGTTATCAATTAAGCCAGATTTTTCATATACACAACGTACGAAACACTAAATTAAAATACGAAACACTAAATTAAAATTAATAAAATTTGTCTTAGAAATGCAGTCAAGAACTTTAAAAACACGACACGGGTCTTCGCTCCGGTAATACATCGAGTTTTACTCCCGAAGATTGTCAACTCAGTGACTGTATCAAGCGAAATATTTTTTTCACAGGAAAGTAATATCGACCTCAGTCGAACTGTTACAACAACAACAAAACAAGTAAACGTGTAATATTCGCCTATGCCGACAATAACGGAGGGTTTTAGATCTTTAGGTTAGATAAAGAAAGGTTGAGCACTAAAACTTGCATAGAAACTGAAATAAGGGTATGATTAAGGAAACAGAAAAAGAGAACGGACTGAAGGTACACTAAGCCCTAAGGGATCCAACCTGGTTTCTGAAATTAATAGGATTTATGGCTTGAGTTGCTCCCTGCATTTTTCCCAAATTCTTAGTGGAATATGTTTCCCAGCCATTTCAGCTCAGTGCTCTATTCTTACTAGTTCTTTTAAGTATTTCCATAACCTACAGAAGTTCGGTATAGAACAATGCTCCACAGTCCTTATATTATATTTCCAGTTCTATAAGTATGCTGGTTTCTTTCGTCTTGGTCATAAGGCTTTTTATACTTTGCATTCCATTTCGTTATTTTACAGTACTGATTGATAATGTCTCTAAATCTTTCAGAGATTAAGTTATAATAATGTCAAATTTAGGTAGGTCAAGGTTCAAACCTAGCTATTTCATTCGCTACACCCTTCGGACAGTTTATCGGATATAATCATTTCATTATTTGGACACTATATTATACATAGTTGTCACCCCAAAGTCTAAAGTCGTAATTCTGTGATCTGAAAATCCACAATGAATGGGAGGTCTTTATGAATCGATAATTTTGTTATTTGATGTCATAGATTTATGCTGAATTGTTGACGAAAAGTCTAAACCTAGATTATACTTTTTTAATTACCTAGAATTCCAATTGACCACGAAATTTATCACATCAGATTTCCGTGTCCTATATCAATAAAATCAAGTTTTTGGCCCTATTTGAGATGTTATAAGAATGTGAAGACAACTTTAATTACATCTCGGAAACGAAGAAGATTTAACAGAGCTTTAACCTATGTTATAATGCCAACAGATTGGACTTTCATATGATATAACAAAAAGGTATCTTCGCGCTGTTGTAATCTCTCAAATATGGCCAAAAATGGGGTTTTTTCAAACTTTTCGAAAAGCCATTTTCTGAATGCGGACCTTGTATAGGGGGAGGGTCTAGGATCAAATATTGCCCATTGTTCGAAATACTTTAAAATATGAATATAAGTATAACTTGGCAAACTTTTTACGATTGCTGCGAGCATTTAAAATGACTAATCTTAAGCTCCAAACAAATCTTATCAATAGATAATATTTGTGGGAAATGTTGGACCATTAGCTCCCTCCGTGTGGTCCCTATCGTACTTTCAACACACAGACGGAAGGATAAACAGACGGACATGACTTGATCTTCTTATGATCTAATATGTAAGGTTCCAGAATATACATTTATACAAAATTTTATCGTTTACTGGGCATTGATAGGAAATATTAAAAAGTTTTATATTAAGATAAGAAATTTTATTGCTTCATTTATGATTCTTAAAACGATCAGACAATTTTGTAAGAGAGCAATTTTTTTCAAAACTTACCATGCCTGTTTTATCCACCAAATCGGGCAATTGACCCGTTGTATTAAATTGCACATAATATTCTGAAATTTAGTAAATCACTTGTTACAAATATGAATAAAATATTCAAACAATTATATATTTACGCATTGGTATATAAAAACTAGAATTACACAATGAAATCAGCTCATCAAAATTAATAAAATTAGGATTTTCCGGCATATTAGTGGTGGTAGAACTTAATAAAGCGGCATCAGTACTTTGTTTAATATCCTTAAGAAATGACTCCTCATTGGTAATATATATACTACCATTATCCTTGGCCTTTTGCAAACACTCAATAGAACCGAGTAGAATGAAGGAAAAATATATTAAATAGAACTGTAAACGATACATGACCTACAGAGTTTCCGTATTGACTGCTGGCGCACTAATTTAAAAGTGACAGTTTTATAGCAGTTATTTTACACTTTCTTTCTGACATGCAAAACAAATTATTTTTAATTTTTTTTATAATAATTTTTATTGGCAATAAAATATATAATACATAAATACTTTAATTGTGTAATTAATGTTTTGTATTAAAATTATTTATAATATAGTAAAAATACAAACTTAATTTCTCTTTGTGTATGATAAACAAAAAAATATAGTATGTAAATGTCTATTTTATAAAAAACATTTACAAATATTACAGTTAATTTTAAATTATACAATTTAAATTTTAAAGTTTATTATTAAATAGTGTTTCTGTTAAAAATTTATTAAATTTTGAAAATTTATTAAATTTAAAACCTTTACAATTTCCAAATTTATATAAATTTTATTTCAAACACTTTTCAATTTCTTTTTTCGTTGTATTGATTTGTGAATTGTTTTAATTATAGTTTAATAGGTTTAAATAATTAATTAAATAATAGATCATAATTAAAGAGCACTTAAAGAAAAAAAAACATGCAGCATTGCCACATCAAAGGTTTGTGACATCAGGGATGGAAAATTAAATATTATTTTACATTATTTTTTTGGTACTTTTTGACAGTTGAAACATATTAGTTCATAAATTAATCAATAATCTGTTGAAGGTCAATAGACTAATCCGTGAACTTGTCAATAAACTAGTTTATAGACCACATAGCCTAATCCATAGTCTAGACAGTTTGACTCCTCCACAAAATTTGTCAATAGAATAGTCCATAGACTGTTTAATAGACTAGCACATAGCCTAGTACATAGTATGGACATTGGACTAGTCTATAGACTTCTCATTAAACTAGTTTAAATTCGTTGCAAAATAGACTAGTCTATGAAGTTGTCAATTAACTAGTTTGTAGACTAGTCTATAAACTTATCGATAGAATAGTCAATAGAATTATCCACAGACTAGAGTAGTCATTAAACTAGTCCATATTCCTTCAAATGTAGACTTATCCATGACTAGCTAGTCAATGGACTAGCACATATCCTAGTCTAGGCAGTTTACTAGTCCATAAACTTATCAATATACTAGCCCATAGAATGGTCCATAAACTAGGCTTGTCCAAAGACTAATCCATAGACTAGTTATTAAACTAGTTCAAAATTTAACTAGAGGATATAAACAATGCTTTTAATCATAAAAAAGTACCGTTTTCGAAAAAGTTAGTACCATTTTAAAATGTTAATTTTCCATGCCTGATAAATCTGAAAGCGGGGATAGTTTAATAAACAGCTAGTTGTCATATAAGGAATAAAAATATCTAAGTTTATTTAAAAAAGTAAAGTGCAACAGTGAACTACTAGGCAAAGAGTGTGATTAGTTCCGAAAAGGTGAAGAAAATAATCATAAAACCGGGAAGGGTAATTGGAAATTTAGGAAAAAAATGAAAAAATTCACGCAATCAAATTTTGTTTTCAATATTACAATATGGAATCTCAACTTAAATTTAAAGATTTTTCTGTATAATTTTTAAGTATTTTTGTTTGTTTGTTGTATTAATTTAAATTACTCTATGCAGTGTCCATGTTGCGTCCAATCGTCAAACTTTGGCGCCCCAGGCACGTTTAATCATATAAACACCCTTTTCGGCTATCATTACAGCAGGTGCATGTGTATTGCCAGCTGTTACCTTGGGCATTATACTGGTATCCATTACTCTTAAGCCTCTAATGCCATGCACTCTCAATTCATGATCAACTACAGCCATTGGATCGCGTCCCGGACCCATTTTACACGAACCAGCTTGATGATTTTCGGGACCAGTATTTTGTCTAACCGCACATTCCCAATAGTCATCCGAACCAAAGGTGAATTTCTCACAACCCTCGACAACTGTACGATCTAAACGCATGCCATACTGTTTCATGGGTGTGGTCTGTGATAATCTAATGGCAAATTTAATACCCTCTATTAAAACTTTAACATCTCTTTCATCGGTTAAATAGTTGGCGAATATGCGTGGTGGTGCCAGAGGATCATTGGAGGCCAAGGTAATATAACCTCTAGATTTGGGATTCAATACCGCTGGGAAGATTTGTATACTACGTGAGTTATTTGAGAGAAGTTCACCCACTTGTCCAGTACGAGCACAACTGGCCAAATAACCACCGAAATAGTATTGTAGATCGGGCACACCGGGTTTGTCAGCATATCTTGTAGCCATTTTGGCTGTAACGTCGGAAATACCAGTACCAGACATTAGGCCATCACGGAATAGCAGATATTCCATAGCAGTAGCCCAATTGAGAGGAGCAGTATCGGCATCATCGATGAAGAAATTTGTGAAATAGGCCACGTGGTTGTGTAAATTTTTACCAACGCCGGGCAAATCGTGTATGGGACGAACGCCAACCTGTAAATATAAAGAAGAACTTAATGTGAATTCCTTAAGATCATCTCGGTGTTATTAGATCCCATATTCAATGGCACTTTGTGTGTGCCTCAGGCTCAATGTTTTACGGCAATATTCATAAAAACTTACAACAGGTTTTGATGAATTTGTGAAAAATATTGAAAACTTTCTCTAATACCGACTTTTTACCGACATATCTGAATATCTTACCTTCATTAAATCCTCTTTCGGACCCACACCACTCAACAGCAAAATCTGGGGTGAATTTACAGCACCACCACTGACAATGACTTCCTTTTTAACTAAAATTTTGCGCATACTGCCAAATTGATCAATGACTTCAACACCTAAAACGGTCTTAGTACCGGGATGGATTAAAACTTTGGTAGCCGTAGTATTTAATAGAATATGAAGATTATTACGCAGGCGAGCAGGTCTCAAAAAGGAACGAGCAGAACTATAGCGTATGCCATTGCGGGATGTCATCTGGGCAATCATGAAACCGGTGGAGTTTTTACCATTCAAATCGTGTACGCTGAAACCTAATTCCTCGCCAGCCTTCAAAATAGCATATGACAAGGGAGGATTATAGGGGAATTTTGAAACCGGCATCAAACCGCCTGTACCATGCAAATCCCTGCCCACTTCATCAACTTGTAGATTATTTTCGGATTTCTTAAAGAATGGTAAAACTTCTTTATAACTCCAACCCGGATTACCCATAGCAGCCCAATCATCATAATCCTCACGATTACCACGAATATACATCATGCCGTTTAACACGGAGGTGCCACCTAAAACTTTGCCTCTGGGCCAATAGCAACGTTGACCTTCAGACGATAAGCACGCTGATTTTTCCGGTTCTGTATTGTACTTCCAATCGATATCACTGGCTATAAAGTTCAAAAACATGGAGGGAATTTGTGCACCCACTGGTTCATCGCCACCTGTAAAACAAGTAGAAAAGGTTTTTTAATTAACATTTTTGTTGTTGCAATAAATTTAAAAAAGTAATTAAAATTATTATTTTTTATTTTAAATTTTCATTTGTTTTATTTGCATTTAAGTGCAACAAAATATTAATTACTTCAATTAAAAAGTTTGATTATTACACAGGCCTGCCAAATTTGAAACCCAGAGACTTTTGGGAATCTATTAAAAGGAACTTGTTGGTACTTTTTCGCTCTTCAAATGGTACTTTTAGAATTTCTCATAAAAAAGAACTGAAAATTCTCGAAAAATATATATTCGTTCTCTTTCTATTCTAGTGCATTGTTCCGATGATAAACCTTGAAACAATTTCTCCTTGTACATTAACCTTAATAAATAATGACTTTATTTTAATTAACTTAAGTTAAATAATAATATATTTTAATAATAAACAATTTAAAATAGCAGTTAAAATAAAATTAAATATCCTCGCCGCTCGACTCGTTAAAATTAACGATTCTATTAAATTTTTAATTAAAAAAATTGGTTTAAAACATGAATATTAAAGAATTCCTTTTAATAGCACTAGTATTTTTTTATTGCATTATTCTTTAACATTTTATTGGTGTTTATTTCATTAATGAGCAGTAATTTTTTATTATTTTATTTCGACTTTTTTCGTATTTCTTTTCTGTATATAATTTTATTTTTCAAATCCCACGATGTGTGTTTCCCCATAAATTTTAGTCTGTTGCTTGTCTAATTTATTTAAATTGTGGTATTTTGTTGTTATTTCAGTTTTGTTTAGTTTTTTGCATTATTTTTTGTTAATTTGTTTAAGGTGTTTAAATAAAATTGTTCTTTTGACAGTTGAAATCAGCGGGCATGTCATTGATAATTGATGGGTTTTGAACTTAAGCTTCCGTTATATTAAAGGTTGTTTTAGTTTGAAATTTAACTAAAACGGTTAGGAAAATTTATTTTTATATATTTTTTTTTTAAAGGTAAAATTACAATTTAAAGCAGGCATGGAAAATTCAGTACTTCTTTCGGTACTTTAGTCTATAGTCTTGTCTATAGTCTAGTCTACAGTCTAGTCTATAGTCTAGTCAATAGTCTAGTCTATAGTCTAGTCTATAGTCTAGTCTATAGTCTAGTCTATAGTCTAGTCTATAGTCTAGTCTATAGTCTAGTCTATAGTCTATAGTACAGTCTATAGTCTAGTCTAAAGTCTAGTCCATGGTCTAGTCTATAGTCTAGTCTATAGCCTAGTCTATAGTCTAGTCTATAGTACAGTCTATAGTCTAGTCTATAGTCTAGTCTATAGTCTAGTCTAAAGTCTAGTCTATAGTCTAGTCTATAGTCTAGTCTATAGTCTAGTCTATGGTCTAGTCTATAGTCTAGTCTATAGTCTAGTCTATAGTCTAGTCTATAGTCTAGTCTATAGTCTACAGTCTAGTCTACAGTCTAGTCTATAGTCTAGTCTATAGTCTAGTCTATAGTCTAGTCTATAGTCTAGTCTATAGTCTAGTCTATAGTCTAGTCTATAGTCTAGTCTATAGTCTAGTCTATAGTCTAGTCTATAGTCTAGTCTATAGTCTAGTCTATAGTCTAGTCTATAGTCTAGTCTAGTCTAGTCTAGTCTATAGTCTAGTCTATAGTCTAGTCTATAGTCTAGTCTATAGTCTAGTCTATAGTCTAGTCTATAGTCTAGTCTATAGTCTAGTCTATAGTCTAGTCTATAGTCTAGTCTATAGTCTAGTCTATAGTCTAGTCTATAGTCTAGTCTATAGTCTAGTCTATAGTCTAGTCTATAGTCTAGTCTAGTCTAGTCTATAGTCTAGTCTATAGTCTAGTCTATAGTCTAGTCTATAGTCTAGTCTATAGTCTAGTCTATAGTCTAGTCTATAGTCTAGTCTATAGTCTAGTCTATAGTCTAGTCTATAGTCTAGTCTATAGTCTAGTCTATAGTCTAGTCTATAGTCTAGTCTATAGTCTAGTCTATAGTCTAGTCTATAGTCTAGTCTATAGTCTAGTCTATAGTCTAGTCTATAGTCTAGTCTATAGTCTAGTCTATAGTCTAGTCTATAGTCTAGTCTATAGTCTAGTCTATAGTCTAGTCTATAGTCTAGTCTAGTCTAGTCTATAGTCTAGTCTATAGTCTAGTCTATAGTCTAGTCTATAGTCTAGTCTATAGTCTAGTCTATAGTCTAGTCTATAGTCTAGTCTATAGTCTAGTCTATAGTCTAGTCTATAGTCTAGTCTATAGTCTAGTCTATAGTCTAGTCTATAGTCTAGTCTATAGTCTAGTCTATAGTCTAGTCTATAGTCTAGTCTATAGTCTAGTCTATAGTCTAGTCTATAGTCTAGTCTATAGTCTAGTCTATAGTCTAGTCTATAGTCTAGTCTATAGTCTAGTCTATAGTCTAGTCTATAGTCTAGTCTATAGTCTAGTCTATAGTCTAGTCTATAGTCTAGTCTATAGTCTAGTCTATAGTCTAGTCTATAGTCTAGTCTATAGTCTAGTCTATAGTCTAGTCTATAGTCTAGTCTATAGTCTAGTCTATAGTCTAGTCTATAGTCTAGTCTATAGTCTAGTCTATAGTCTAGTCTATAGTCTAGTCTATAGTCTAGTCTATAGTCTAGTCTATAGTCTAGTATAGTCTAGTCTATAGTCTAGTCTATAGTCTAGTCTATAGTCTAGTCTATAGTCTAGTCTATAGTCTAGTCTATTAGTCTAGTCTATAGTCTAGTCTATAGTCTAGTCTAGTCTATAGTCTAGTCTATAGTCTAGTCTATAGTCTAGTCTATAGTCTAGTCTATAGTCTAGTCTATAGTGTAGTCTATAGTCTAGTCTATAGTGTAGTCTATAGTCTAGTCTATAGTCTAGTCTATAGTCTAGTCTATAGTCTAGTCTATAGTCTAGTCTATAGTCTAGTCTATAGTCTAGTCTATAGTCTAGTCTATAGTCTAGTCTATAGTCTAGTCTATAGTCTAGTCTATAGTCGAGTCTATAGTCTAGTCTATAGTCTAGTCTATAGTCTAGTCTATAGTCTAGTCTATAGTCTAGTCTATAGTCTAGTCTATAGTCTAGTCTATAGTCGAGTCTATAGTCTAGTCTATAGTCTAGTCTATAGTCTAGTCTATAGTCTAGTCTATAGTCTAGTCTAGTCTATAGTCGAGTCTATAGTCTAGTCTATAGTCTGGTCTATAGTCTAGTCTATAGTCTAGTCTACAGTCTAGTTTATAGTATAGGCTATAGTCTAGTTTATAGTATAGGCTATAGTCTAGTCTATAGTCTAGTCTACAGTCTAGTCTATAGTCTAGTCTAGTCTGTAGTCTAGTCTGTAGTCTATAGTCTAGTCTATAGTTTTGTCTAGAGTCTAGTCTATATAGTCTTTATAACAGTTTATAGTCTAGTCTATAATCTATTTAACAGTCAAGTCCATAGTTCAGTATATTGTAAGTCTATAGTATAGCGGAAAATTAGTGTAGCACTTTAAGTTCTTAAAAGTACTATTTTTGTTAAGAGTTAGTACTATTTCAAAATTTCAATTTTCCATGCCTGATTTAAAGTTTGATAAGTTATATTTAGTTAGTTTGTGAGAAATTTAAAAATATTTACACATAATTTACATGATTTTCCTTAAAGTGTTTGGGAAAACGTTTAACAAAGTTAAATTTACATAATTTGCTTTTGGAAAGTTTTATTTTTAAAAGTTTCAATAAGTTTTTTACATAACAAATAAAAAACATATTTATCTAAAAGCCAGTAGTTATTTAGTTGCTCCTACTAAATATTGTAATACACAAACAAAACTTGAAATATTATTATTAATAGCAACAAACTTTATTGCTGTAAATTAAGCTCTTTCTTTGAAATATGTAGATCACAAATTCAAATTCAAGTGTCATAATTAATTTGTAAGATCTGTCCATGTCTTAAACAAACTTTCACATGGGCAACTGTAAGTTAAATAATTACAATTTTATTAAACAAAATTGATTTAAATTATATATCGTATTTGATAGAAAATCTCTTTTAATGTTTTCGTAGCAACACTTTCATCTAATAAATGTTAAATTATACATTTTATTTTTATTTCTTACACAATACATTTTTTCTATCAAATAAATACTGTGTTGCATGCAAATATAAAAAATAAACATTATTAATTAATGACCAACACACAATATAAAATTAAAACGTTTTAAAAGAATTACAGTTTAAATAAAAGAAAAATCTTTGAAGCACTAATTAACACGTTACCAATTGGACTAAGTTGCACACTGTGAATTTTATTCATATAATGGGTGTTGAGTTCAAAACAGTAACTTCGTTATCTAAACAAAATAATCTTCTTAGAAATTTTTATAAAAGTCATTTGAAACATTTACTCTAATTTTTTAATATGCAGAATATCTACCGATCAAACGACTAGTATAATAATGTCATTCGACATATTTTAAAGAAAGCGAAATCTCTCTACGAAATTTCTTAAGGATTCGGACAATATTTGACCCTCGCCCTTCCAAAGTATACTTTTTGAAATTTGACATAAACCATTTTTATTAGAATCAGAATATAATTACCAAGGATCGGTCCACTTTAGCTCTTATATAAAATACTCTTCAGAAAAAGGATTTAACCTTCATAGCAGGGTTAAGAATACAACACAACAATAAAATTATATTTAAAAAGTTGTATAAGATCCAAAATCTCTGTACCAAATTTCTCGAAAATGGCCTTAACCTCCACAAATGGCTTAGAAATACATGTAGGTTATGTTATTGTGGAAACCGCCTATAGCGTAGCTTACTTGGGTTCAGTTATATGTCCCGTTGTGATACCATTTGTAATCGTCCCAATTTATCTCTATATATAAATAATGATGCAAATTGACTCAAGCAAGTTTCATTGAACCCAAAATCTGTCTACCAAATTCATTAGTATTGGTCCATGTTTGACCCTACCCACGATATAATATAATTTAGCCCGCACCCTAATTTTAATAAA